AAGCAGGTTTAGTGTTCAAAGGTCATTCAAACCCGAAGTTAGAGTTAGCAGACAGAGGCTCTTAACTATAGTTCCATGTAATAGTCCTTTTTGAAACGGGTAGTCGCTCTGTTAGTAAACAAATTTCTCGCTATGTTCACAAAAGTCAGCGGCCGTTTTACCGTGTCTTTGGTCATTTGAATCCAATTATTAACCTCGTACCTTCCACTGAAATTCATATTCATATTATTGATTTCACCTAGGTATTTACACACTCACGTTTTACGATTAAAATTGACATATACTTCTTCATATCTTCATTTGTGCTATATTTCCTGTTAATCGCATATCCCTTGATATAATTACCCTAATGATATTTGAAAAAAAAATTTAAATTTCTCCAGTTTTGTGTTATATATACTTCTGCCCTTTAACTTTTCTCTATTCTCATCAATTGTTTACGCTAGGGGTTATCAAACATTCCAGATCACATTAACCCCATCTTACCGATTCGGAACACAGAATTATAAGTGAGTACATTTTATTAAAACATGGAAGTTTATAAGAATTCTATTAATTAGGTCTACCACAACAGACATGTTCGCAAATGAAGATGGCTGTCTTCTGGGACGTTGCTTCGTGTTTGCAGTGATAATCACATGAAACTCGTGAATATATTATTAACAATTACTGATTGTTGAGGAAAATTAGCAAATTACCTTTGGGCTTTAAGGGGTCCAGGAGATACCCTTATAGATATTTGAATTTCAAACTTCTGTGTTCGTAGATACTTTTTGATGTTCGTCAAAATTCAAATGTGTACGCCAGCTCCTTTCGGAGGTTTTCTAATGTTAATAGAGCAGCATAATAGTAAGACCTTATCCAGAGTCCAAATATTATAATTCTTACCTTTGTTTAGACCAAAATAAGCTGGGCGCACAAATATTGGACCGCTTGAATTTGTGTTTTGCTGCTGTGGGTGGTCTTGGTGATTGTTGAGGCTTGGCTTGTTTCACCACGCGTCCGGCAATTTCGGTCCATAAGTCTATTTGCAACGTAGTGCGCACGCAGTAATATAAGCGCCTCGCAGATGTCTTGGCAAAGAAATTAGGGACATCAAACTGCACCTGTGTGGATATAATTGTCTCTGTCTTCTATCGTTTCACATACAAATGTGATTGATTCTCGGCCATGCAGCGACTGGGTGGGTCAGCTGAACATTTCTCATTGCAGTCGCTGGTCAGAGAACTTGTCTGTATTTTATACTCGAGGCATTAATGCCGTGGGTTTGTTTGTTTGTTTCGTAGGAGGTCAAAAAGGCCTCCTATCGTGTGTGTATTTGTTACTATTCTTCTTTCTGGCAAGATAACAAGACAGACTGACAGACACATAGTTTTTATGCAGAAATGGAACGAAATTTCATTAAATTTCAGAAGTCTACTTCACTGCAGGCTTAAATTGAAAAAATTACCAAGGACTATTAAGGTCAGATAGCAGATTCTTACCGCGGCGTGTATGGAAATGGCTTTTTGTATAGGTTATGTGTGATCTGAAGAGAAATATAATAATAAAATTAGGCCCGCAATGAAGTTAATGAAAGCGTATGAATATAAAAATCATATGACACGTGACTCAGCAACTTACAGGCAATACGCCTTGGTAACAATACATTAACACCATACGAAGAGTCTATAAATGTGAAAACCCGTTTACTGTAATTATGGTTGTTGCTATATGCCTCTAAAACATTCTAACAATGGCGTGTTACTTTAAACATTATTTTTCTTGTGGACTAAATCCATTTTTATGTACATTAAACGGTGCTTCCTGGACTAGCTTTGACCCCGTCTTCAGGTGAAAGAAAACTTACTCTATTGGGCCTTTAAAATGGCTAATCCCAATCTCTGGTCCGGAGTCGGTGGCAGAGACCACCCGCTAGACCTACACGTAGATGAAAGATAATATTAAAAGAGACTTTAACGGAATAGGGTGTGATGATATGCAATATTAGTCCGTCTCAGGATTTGGTCACGGGGCTAGAAATGCTAGAAGCATATCCCAATTTCTAAAACTCCATCTTCTGCTCGCGTTCATACAACGCGGTCCCACATGAATACATTTGTGTACAGAGAGGGAGTGAATAGGTTAGGTTGCGTAATGCTGCAGATATAGGTGAGTGGGTATCCATAAACAAGTCTATTATCACGAAGAATAATCTCTGTTCGTAGCTAGAACAAGCAGAAGAAAGGCTCTTGTAATACATGTTTATATGAAATTGTTATACCGGCAATGTAAGTAAGAAAACTGGTTGCATTGAGTAAATTAGCATTGGAATGCGTTGCGGTTCGTTTTTTGAACACAGAGTGTGGAGGGGGCAGGCGCAGAAGGCAGGATGTTTATCGCAGTCTCATTATCGTTTTGTACAACAGGTAAATGCTTTGCGAAATTAAGGATCTCAGGGCGGGAAATGGTTTATGGCGGTTGTTTCAGAGAAAATGTGTGCAGGCTTTTAGTCATTATAAGAGACGAGTGTTGGAGCAGTATTTCGATTCTGAACGCTTATCTTGATGCAGCATTGTTAAATTAAGATATCACGTGGTAAGCAGTTTAGTTATATGTGATATGTTATTTTGAATCTTGTCATTTTTCTGGTAACAACTGACTCATTCCTTTGGTGATCGGTAAGAAGGGCTTAAGGGAATACAGATTTATTTCTTTTGAATTAATACTTTCTAGCCATATACTGACGATATGAGATCTTTAAGCTAGTACACAAAGAATTCACTGATATTCATGTTTGTAATTTGTGGTTGTTTAAAATGTTCACATTAAAATAGGTTTTAATTAAATTGCGTTTATTGTTATTATTATTTCTTCTTCTTTTGCCAGTGGAATTTTCAGAAAGACTGACATCTTTAATAAAGATTGAATTTTGCTTAATTATATTAGTGAACTTTTTAAGTAAATAATTTTTCTCCTTTATTTTATCTCTCTTAACTTTTAAGTTGTACTTTATTGTGTTTCTCTTTAGTTTAGTGCTTGCCTATAATTTCCTTTCCATCTACTGTCAAGCACTTTAATAAATAAATTGATTCAAGAGTGTTGCTGCTGCTGCTGTTGCTAGATTTTCTCTTTACGACTCCATCCATATCGGTCGTAGGTTCCACCCAACCCTTGTCCATGGGTACCGAGATTTCCCTCCTCGGGGATAAAGCTGCCGAGGCAGAAAGCTCAACTGCTCATTCTAATTCTCAGAAACTCCACTCCTTCACACATCTGGGAATTCCTTATTTTTACATTACTACTAAAACATAAAACATATATTCCTACCAAATCTTCTGTCAGTGTTTCGAGAACCATCTGTGTTCTCATCCTCAGGGTTGCTGGGTAACCATTCCGTTCCTTTGTTGCGCCTTAGCTGGTGGAAACCGGCGGTGGACGCAGGTAGTAATGGTGCTGTAGGATGAGAACAGAGATGAACCCCGAAACGTTGGCAGAAGATTTGGTTTG